ACACTACTGTTTATGCTCTAAAAACATTCTAAATGACTTCGTTTCGAGTAAATTATGGACGCTACCCACTCAGGACACTTGGAATACATTGGACGAGCAGTATGGAGGAATATTGACACGTTTTTTGTGGACTTTTATGGACCTTTCTGCCTCGGGCGCCATAGACCTCCATTATTTGAATGTCAGCAGACAGCAAGAAGCCTCCCAGATCTCCAGATGCATTTGAGATATCAAAAAAGTACTCCAGAGTGTTGTTCAGCATGGGGGTGAGTAGAAAATGAAGGCTAATCATGTTTTGGGTGTACTATTCCTTTAAGATGAAATAAAGTTTTTGTCTGTCTTGAACCCCAGTGGGCCTCAGCAGATGGCCGCTCACACTGAGCCTGGTTCTGCTGGAGGTTTCTTCCTGTTCAAAGGGAGTTTTTCCTCTCCACTGTCGCTACAAGCATGCTTAGTGTGAGGGATTGCTGAAGAGTCAATGAGTCGATGCAATCAGCTGGTTTTCCTTAGATAGAAAACTTTGAATCAATCTGACTGGATGATCTGGTGAACTGGAAAGTGCCTTGAGATGACAGGATGTGAATTGGAGCTATATAAATAAACTGAATTGAAATACATTAGCTAGAACTCCTTAAGTGGAAAAGTTTGAGTTTCACCTGCCTTAATTTATAAAAAAATGAAACCAGTGAATGATGATGTAAATGTGATAAGAGGGAACTCCCTCCCAAAGGACACATCTTATTTTGCTATAAAAGACGACCGGTTTCTCAGGCTGTGGAGGACGAGTGGCACAGATACCTCTCGGAACAATAACTAGTAAAAATAAACTCCCGCCCTGCGCGGCCGCTTCGTGTTCCCAATTTGGAATCCTTTGTGGCGTTCTATTCAACAACCACACGTATCGTCTCTCCACATGAGTACAGCTCAAAGGGAAAAGGCCCGCTGCCATCACAGTCCGTGGAGAAAACAGAAACCAGGTGTAACGCTCCCTTTCATAATGGCTTCTGTGTAGGAGTGTGTGTTTCAGCGTTCAGCCTGCACACAAAGGTAACATTCACAGCGCCTCCTGCGTGGAAGTATTGGAAACATGCGAAAGAGATTAATGTTATCTACTCAGTTCCCATGGTGCTATCTGCTGGGAAGATACCCTGACTGCTGCGGCGCGTTAGGATCAACCGACAAGCAGCAGCGTTGCAGCTCCAGTGTCGGAAGAACATCGGGTTCCTGGTTAAAGGAATTATAGTAAACACCCCCCCCTCCCACCCGTTATTTCAAACAGGAGCCTGCAGTTCTCTGTGTTGAGGGAAAACACTTGGACATGCTGCTGTCAGAGCTGGACCCTGGTATGTTGAGACGGGAGCCAAACTGATAGCAAACAAGACAACACGACGCCCTACGCCGCCTGCCGCTCGATAACCACAACTATGCTCTGAAACGTTAAGAATATGGCTTCACGGTGATTACACTGACAAAATGAAGACGTTTATTTAAAGGAAAACTCACCCCAAATAAGCATTTTGCCAATCGATCCAACACTGCAAAAAATCTAAATCTAGATAAGTCATCTTTTTCTTAAAATAAGTGAATTTGTTCTTGAATTGAGGAGGTAAAAGAGACATTCTGCCAATGAAACAAGACAATTTACCCTTAAAATAAGAAAACACAATTGCATTGACTTATTTCAAGTACATATTATCTAATTATCTTATTTTAAGAGTAAAATTACTCATTCAATTGGCAAACTTTCTCATTTACCTACTCAAATTAAGGGTAAATACACTTAATTAAGGACTTTTTTACGTATTTCTAGATCGTTTTTGCAGTGAACAGCCGACGATCTGATGCATCGATATGTCTGCAAGAGAATCAATTCATGTTTTTTTTTCCTCCGGCCTATTTTTATCCATTTGCTCCTGGATGTAATTGTCCCTCCCGTGCTGCGGTGGCGCTAAACCTATTTTGCCCTCCTACCTCGCTTCCTGGTTATACTCTTACAGCAGTGTGTTGCAGGGAGCTTGATGCAGACATTTTTGATTTATGCTCAATATTGAAGCGTGGTCTGTGCTACACGCTGTGGGTCTAGATACGGCCGAGGCGGCGAGGAAGTGGGGGCGAGTTTAGTCCGATGACGGAGGGACATGAGGGCCAAAAAGAGCGGAGATCCAGGTGGAAAAAGGGTCCCAGCGTTCTCGCGCACCTCGCTCTTCTAGCGGGTCAAACTTCACAAGTTCTTTTCAGCAATTTCGGTCATAAAAACAAACCAAGCTGGCCTCCTGTCTGCGGTCAGCTACAATTTGGGAGAGGAGCAGCGGAGCGTCTGTGGAGGGGGGGGACGTCTGGAGCCGAGGTATTGCATTGCACTCATTGCACTGATTATGTGCAGTATTTTTTGATGCAAAGCCTTTCAGAATCTATAACGCAGGGGGATTATTATTTATCAGTTAATAAGGTTTTAATAGATATAGGTGGAGTACAATTTTTCTGCTTCTGTTATTTGCTGTTGTTTCTCAAATAAAATGTATAACGATATTACAGCTTTCATTGATTTATTTCAAATTTGAAACATTTTCTAGCCTGTAAGGTTAAAAAAAAGATGAAAAGAAAAAAATGAACCAATTAATTGAATCGAATCGTGAAGTACTGCTTTAAAGAGTCTGATGAAAACTGTTCACTTATCAACTTATTAAACCTCGCCCGCTCAGAGGTGGTCAGTTGCCGTATTTTACGGACTATAAGCTGCTAGTTTTTTTTTCCCGCAGCTTTGGACCATGCAGCTTATAAGAAGATGCAGCTTTTCTGTTGATTTTTCCTAACTTCCAGAGGGGGAAGTAAAAGTTGGAAACAGAAGAATAATGGGCCAATTTTCATTTAGCACAAGAACATGCTAGCAGCAGGTACGACGGAGAACAAATGTCCCTAATTGACACATTTTGACATTTGCCACGTTAAAGAGACCGAGCCAAACTCCTGCAGAGTTTCAGAGACACATTTACCCTACCATCTGAAAACCGACCCATGCCGGTGACGAGCTCGGTTCCTTATGATCATTTACGAACCACGCTAGCACCGTTCCTCGTCTCCTGGTGACGATCTAAGCAAGCAAAACAACATGGCGGCACCCGTAACATTCAGGAAGATTGCAGAGTCATGCTTCTGGGAAGTGGATACGACAAACGATCGTCTAATCAGGGTTTCTGGACAAAGGAAACGATGACAGACGTTGAGGTTCATCGCACTGCTAAGCAGAATCATCACTGGAAATCGTGCGGCGCGGAAGGGAAGCTTGGATTTCTATGAATATCTGAAGATTCATGATTACAGAGGCGGACTGTAATTATTTCAATTCAGTTTATTTATATAGCGCCAAATTCACAACACATGTCATCTTAAGTCACTTTACAGTTCAACCAGATCATACAGTCAAATTGATACAAAGTTTTCCATCTAAGGAAAACCAGTTTATTGCATCGATTCATTGACTCAAATACAATCCCTCACACTAAGCATGCTTGTAGCGACAGTGGAGAGGAAAAACTCCCTTTGAACAGGAAGAAACCTCCAGCAGAACCAGGCTCAGTGTGAGCGGCCATCTGCTGAGGCCCACTGGGGTTCAAGGAGACAGAAGCAGAGACACAGAAAGCAGCTGTAAAAGGCGGCCCCGTCCAGGAAACACACAGCCAGGCAGACGAGCTCCGAGCCAGCTCCCATGTCAGAGGATGAAGAGAGCACATTCACTCAGTCACGGTCAGAGAAACAGGACTACACTGGAATTATCTGATAATCAATTAATTATCGGATAGCCAAAGGTTCCTTAAATAATACTTTTTATTAAATTAAACCAGGTGAAACTAAAACTGTTCCACTTCTGGACAGAGCGTGTTAACAGAAAAAAATATTTATCTGAAAAGCAAAATGTTTATAGATTTTTTACAATCTTGGTATAATTCCTGCTCTAAGAGGGTCTCTCTGTCAGCTAAAGGCTTGTTTTACAGTCTCTATACTCCAGTTAATGATTAATCCATTACTAAATAGTTGATGATTATTTCAATAATCGATTAATCACGATCGCTTCAGCCCAAGGTTAGAGCAAAGAAAAATTGTAAATAAAATATTGGTTCAAACTTGCCCTTTTCCTGTTGGAAGAAGACTCTGATAAAAAAAATAAAAAAAAGATTTATTCAAAGTTTTCAAAACCTCCAAACTAGAAACTGACTGTATATTCCCTTTCTTTTTGTTACTAATCTCTTAGTTTTTCTGTCTAATTACAGGTTTCCTGCCATGACAGGCTTCACTAAACTATGACATCATGAAGATACCGTGTTTATGAAAGAGACGGAGCATTTTTTATTCAGCCTTCCTGGATTACATCAACAGTTTGCCCACAATCATCATCAGCAGAGGGAACATTCTGCCGTCATCTCCTCGGCAGACAGTCAAACATCTCCTCCGAACCTTTGTGCTTGTAGGGTCATCCATCCCACTCAGCTGGCAGCTATCTGAGCCGTGATGAATGTGGAAAACCCACCCAAGTTAGGAGCCTTTCTGTTTTCAATCGCTCTCTGTTGATACAGGATCTGATAAGAAGTTTTCCAACAGACAGACTGGACACTTTTTTTTTGTTGCTTTTTAATGCCAACCGAAGGTCGGATCCAAAAGAGACCAGCCACTGGAACCGACCCAGCAGCCAAACAATACCTGAGCCTGTGCGACATGAGGGACGGATGAGGCAACATTTCTAAACAGTCCATAAATAAACTGATTGGGGAATTTAACAAACCTTCCCTGCTGCATTATGGTTTGATCATTATGAAACCGAGGGAAAAAATCTAGAGGTGTGCATCAGTAACACATTGTTTATTTCTAACATCTTAGAGGCATCGGACTGCAAAAGTCTGACAACAAAGACGAGGAAACAAACAGGAAACACGAAGATAAATGACTGCTTTGCCTTCTGAGGAGTACAGAACGTCCTCCAACGTGTGAGCGGCAGGATATTTTACCTTGAGTCTTGATGCCAAACGGGGGCAGGAGGTTGCTGAGTTTTGCAAGTCGTTTGAAGTTCCGATCGAGGAACATGGGGGCTGGTTTTACAAATCTGCAACAGAAGGAAAAAAAGAAGAAACGATTCAACAGAGTCAATCTGCAGGTTTACTAGTGGTTTCTAAAAGTAGAATGGGAGGCAGATCTTTTAGTTATCAGGCTCCTCTCCTGTGGAACCAGTTTTAGTCCGTGAGGCAGACACCCTGTCTACTCTTAAGGCCAGGCTTAAAACTTTCCTTTTTGATAAAGCTTCTAGTTAGAGTGGCTCAGGTTATCCTGAGCTATCTCTATAGTTCTGCTGCTATAGGCTTAGACTGCTGGAGGACATAGGGACCCCTTTTTCATCATTCTGCTTCATTCTATCTCTATTCTCCCACTCTGCAGAATCTGTTAGTTCAATCTCTAACGTTCTGCTCTCTCTGCTTTTTCTCATAGTAGCTTCATCTGGTCTGTTCCTGTTTGGCTGTGACTTCATCCTGGAGAGAAACATCAGCTGTGCTGCTGCCATCAACACCTTTCAGAATCAGAATCAGGTTTATTGCCATTGTTAGTGAAGGAGTTCACAAACTAGGATTTTTTTATGGTACAACCGTTCAACATGAAACATGTAATATGGAATAGGTAAATAAAATTATAAAAATATCTAAAACACTGTGGGTATAAGGCAAGCAATAAAATAGACTAATATATACACTTAAGATAGAAATATGGATATAAAATATGAAAAGTAAAATAGCATCTTACAAGGAGTGCAAATAGAGCAGTGTAAATGGCATGGGCAGGTTATAGAGTCTGACATATATTTGTTTATAGATGTTGGAGATCAGCCATATATCGGTTCGGTATATGTTGATTGTTAGCATGACATGTTGGTCGTGTTGCTGTTAGCATAAACAAAACGTGTTGCACAATGCTTGCACACTGTTGCACTTTTATCCAGCCGTCATCGTAGGTCACTCTAAATGCAAAGTGGTCCCATACAGCAGACCTATAAAGTGCTGCTGGCGCGTCTTCCAACTCCTGTTCTTTCCCACTCGCCATACCCACACAATTCTCCACAACAACTGATTTTTTTCTGCTACACCCGGCTACGCTGCTTCGCTTCTTCTTCTTCTTGTTTACTACTGGTGGTTGGCTTTGGTCTCAGTACCGCCACCTTCTGCTCTGGAGTGTAAACGCTTCGTCTATGAGAAAAAGGAGCAGCGCATGAACCGAACGCAACACACCCGAACCAAACCAAGACAGTCGAACCGAATGGGTCGTACGGTTTTCACCCCTAACCGTTCCATCCCTAATATCGATCTACATTTTGTTTTTGTTTTTAAATAGAGGAAGAACTACTATAATTATATTAAGATTGCACATAAATACATTAAGTGTGGGTAAAAAAGGAATTACCTTAGGGTTAGGATGAGGATTAATTCGTTGATAACCTACTGAGCCTACTGGTAGGTAGGAGGCACAAACTGAATCCATCCTATGTGACTGATAACCGCTAATAACAGGCATTTAATGGGACGTTAACATCCAAAGCTCCTGCATGGCTGTGTTTAAACTCTGTTATCACGGGTCTTTATTTTCGGGTCGGTGCGGTCCCGCCCGGGTTTCAAATGGGGATAACTAAGGGTAACCGGTCTGGTCTTGGTTCCGAACTCTACGGGTGCGGCTGGATAGAGTTTTGAAAAATCAGACCCACGCAGGATTCTGCTACACGGAAGATCAATGTTTGCTACATTTTTCAACAAATCTGTTTTCATGTCCAAAGCCCATTTACTCAAAAGTTGAAAACCTTTTTGGGGTAAAGTAAATTGGATTTGCTCCGCATATCCATCTGGAAACCTTCCGTTGAAGTAATTTTGGGAAGGGGCGAAAATACTGGTTAGCTGATTGGCCTATGTTGGTGATAGACGGGCCAAATAAACCAATCAGATCAACGAAGCATATGACGTACTAACAGAGCGACGACGAAGAGGAGCCAATTGATAGATCAAACTCTTGCTGAAACCAGTCGGGAGAAGAGCAAAAACATCTTTTCCTCTGAGAAAAGCCTCCAGGGCAGTTTTTTGCTCTTCTTTCAGTGAAGAAATACTCTGTAATTCCCATAAAACTTGCTCGATAGCCACGCTAACGCTAGTTTCATCGGCTGAAGCCGCCATGTTCTTTAGACTGAACTGTCGCGCTTCTCGTTGCGTCGCACCTCAACCCGCCTCAAAGCCAACGCTGATTGGACGTTCGTTTGGTTAACTGCTCCAAATTTTCTTCAACAGAGAGTCTCCAGACTGATTAGCGAGTGAAATCTTGAAATCTCGCGAGATCAGGATGGTCTCACGAGGCTAGGATTCTGCTACACGGAAGGTCAATGTTTGCTACATTTTTCAACAAATCTGTTTCCATCTCCAAAGCCCATTTACTCAAAATTTGAAAACCTTTTTGGGGTAAAGTAAATCACTTGACTTGAATTTTGTGGTTTCCATAAAAATATACATTCAAAAAAAGAAAGCACTGCGTGGGAACACATATCTCACATAGATTAGATTCTAATTCATTTTTGTGTTAATGCTGTGGTGCTATAAATGTATGGCATTTTACTCATTACTAAAATACTATGATTAGGTGATACTAGCTTGTGTTATTATAAGGTTAGAGGGTCATTTGTTGTCCTGAGATGACCTAACCACAGTGGGCCCATACTTAGAGTTAGCTACTAGTCCTCCATCTTTCTTCTTTCCCCATTCATTCCCACACAAACTAATCTGATGTGTATACAGCCCCTTCCAACACCAGTGTTTTTGTTGTTCTGGGACCGACTTCTTCCAGCATGGCCTCTTCCTTATCCTGTGTGTCCATGGAAGTCTGATTAACGGCAGCTTCGTAATTAAAAGAATCCATTTCCTCCCGAGCTTCGGCTCTGACCCAAGCGCTGGACTGTGTGCCGCTTCCACCGGTGTGACTTCAGGATGGATGTGTGTTTTTATGACCTGCTGTGAGAGCTCCAGGGATGTCAGATGTGTGGAAATGAGGCAGAACATGCCGTTTTTATTCGTAGGTCTACAAGGATCCAGTTTAAATGAATGAAGAAACTGTCTGTTGGCTGAAATCGACTGAATTAAGATGCGACTGGATGGTTATTTTTTTTTTTGCTGATCATGCACGCCTGTATTCACAAAGATTTTCATTGTCCTCTTGGAGTTCTCCAACCAAGCCTAGAAAGTGATTCAGATAATTGCTGAGAGTGACTCCAAAGAAGGAGGGTACCTGAACTCCTATCCTAGCAAATCCAACTCCTTCTCACATATAAAGCCTTAAATGACCAAGCTCCATCTGATATCAGAGATCTGATTGTTCCTTATGTTCCTAACAGAGCACTTTGCTCTCAATCTGCAGGTTTACTAGTGGTTCCTAGAATTTCTAAAAGTAGAATGGGAGGCAGATCTTTTAGTTCTCAGGCTCCTCTCCTGTGGAACCAACTACCAGTTTTAGTCTGTGAGGTAGGGCTGCAACTAACGATTATTTTAAAAATCGATGAATCGGACAAAAAATATTTTTTATATTAACCTCTTTATTCCAAAATAAACATTTTATTCAGAACAAACAAGCACACAAGTACAGGTTGCTCATTAACTGTACTGGTGCAATATGAAAAATAAATGTTTGTGTTAAAACTACGCAAACTTACATGAGAAATGTAGCTGTACATCCACAAAATATAGGGTACTTTGTTTGATAAAGTGCAAAAAAAGGAGTTTTTTTTAGACTAGAAGAGTTCAGCCTTTTAAGACAGGAAAGTACAGCAGTTAAAGTTGCTACTTGAGAAAATACTGAACCATAGAGATAAAAATAGCCCTGTGATTCAAATTATAAATTGTATTTGGAATAAAAATGAGAGAACTAGGGGTGCTAAAAAACACATCCTCCAAAGACAGATATTTACATGGGAATGTGGCAGATAATTAATTGACATATTACTGATCTTGCTGGATTTTATTCTGCTTTACTTCCATAAATTGCAGGATCTTCTTTACTTTATCTTTGCCAGAAGATTTAAACTTTAAAAGCCTTGCCCTCATAATTTGCAAGTTAATTTATTTATAAAGTAAATATAAACGCTGCTTAAGCTAATTCAAATGAAATTAAAAGTAAAATAAGTAGCCAACCTTATCACTGTCTGTAACCTACTAACACGGTAAGGAAAGCATCAGATGAGCTACCTGAGAAACTAACGTAACGTTTCCCCACTTTAAAACCAAAACAAACATGGTGGTTCCGTGCCATGTTAATTTCTTTTGACAAAAGTTGCATGTTATCACTTTTTTCACTTTACAAAGCGCAGGCTATTTTAATTATTGTGGTCAAATTGCGCCGTCAATCCCGGTGCATGCGCGCTTCATTTGCAGTCTGGACGCTGAGGCTCTGACTGCAGCGCTGAGAGGGACTCCTGCGGGAAAACGAGGTTGGTGTGGGGGAGGCGCCCCACGGCAGAGTAGGAACGATACATGCTTTCACGTAAGAGTCTCCAAAAGCCGCCAGTGACACCGAAAAAAGTCGCCAGATTTGTCGCTAGTCGCTTTTTTGAAAAATAGTCGCTGGAGGGGTCTGAAAAGTCGCTGAGTTGGCAACACTGCACCTGCAGCGCTGACTCGCTCTGCCGTGTTTATTTTTTCTTCCTCTTTCAGTCAAGAGGCAGTGATGACGGCGCGGCGGATGACGCATTAATCGCGCGACACAACTAATCGATGAAGAAATTCGTTGCCAACGCTTTTAAAAGTCGATTTTTATCGATTTTATCGATTCGTTGTTGCAGCCCTACTGTGAGGCAGACACCCTGTCTACTTTTAAGGCTAGGCTTAAAACTTTCCTTTTTGATAAAGCTTCTAGTTAGAGTGGTTCAGGTTATCCTGAGCTATCTCTATAGTTCTGCTGCTATAGGCTTAGACTGCTGGAGGACATAGGGACCCCTTTTCTTTATTGTTTAATTCTATCTTTGTTCTGCGGTGTTTGTGAGTTCAATCCCTAATCTCGACATAATCTCTTTCATTTCTTTAACATGAAAACTGG